GGGAAGGGAGGGGAGGGGAAAGGAAAAGCAAGAAGCTAGCTGAAGCTTTCATGGCCTTTTGCTAGGGATAGAGTTTGAGGGGGATGTCTAGAAATACCTGAGGAACTGATTGAGGTCTTCCCTGAGGAGGCAGGAAAAGTGAAAGGAAATTGTACCCTGGGCTGAGATGGAGAAGGGCAAGGTGGTCTCTGGGAAGATAAGCTGTTGTTTTAAAGGCTTCAGCCATATTAGATGACCACCATAATAATTTAGCAATTCATACTAGGGCCACAATCTATTGATAGCTACAACCCTATGTTACTGTTGAGCACTTTAAATATGGCTGGCAGTAAGAAGGGAAAACTGTGCAAGAGAAATTATTCTTTTTAAAATCATGCTTTTGAAACTGCCTAGCTCTGTAACTGCTTCATGGCTTTGTAATTTCTGTCATGACCCATGTAATCACAATAGTGTAACCAAACATACAAAATGCCTGATTGTGCCACTGTGCCAACCCTCATAAACTGATGATCTAGCCTTTTAACCAACGACCTCAACTTGCGAGCTAACAAGAACTGCCAGGTAGCTCTTCCTCATCTTTGCACCTCCTCTTTGGGCATCATATAAAAGCCCTACACCAACAGACATCGGGGCCTGATATTCTGGGAATGATCCGGATCAGTGCCCATCAATGAAAATAAGTCTGCCTCCAAATTCTGGGTGTCATTTTGGTATTTCTGCTTGCTGTTGAATCAAGGCTCAGGAATTGAGCTGTTAATTTTATCTGAATAGCTAATGGATTCCATAATGAATGGCACACATCTAGACAGCACAGCTTAATAGAAGAATCTGGGATCTAAAGCTTCAAAAAACAAAAACTAAATCCAGAACACTGTCACTAGCTACATATGTTTAGCCGTGTTATTTATCCATACATGCGTGCTCATGTACAAGCTTCAATCACATTGTTTGTGAAATGTGGGACTAACAGAAATCCCTACAGTTTCTCGATGAGGGAAATGTGGGACACCTAGCCAAGTACTCAGCACATAACAGGTGGAACATCTAGCCAAGTACTCAGCACATAACAGGTACCTGCTAAATAAAAGGTATTATCACTAAGCTCCTCATTTTCCACACAGAGTAACTGAAATTTTAAAAGGGGGAGTACTTGATTCACAGTTACAGAGCTGTGTACAGAACTGGAAGCCAGTTCCAGATTTTTCTCATGGTTTTTCATAATTGTTTTTCTTATGAAGAGTAGCCATTCCCTTTGTCTTGCTCAGTTTGGGCTACTATAACAGACTAGGGATTAAACAATACAAAATTATTTCTCATACTTTTCAAGGCTGGGATTCAAAGATCAATGCACAAGACTAGTATCTAGTGAAAGCCTTCTTGTTTTGCAGATGGCCATCTGCTTGTTGTGTCCTTATATGGCCAACAGATAATAAACTCTCTCTCATGTGTCTTCTTGTAAGAGTACTAAGGCCATTCATGAGGACTCCACCATCATGACCCAATCATCTCCCAGAGTTTTTACCTCCTAATAGCCATCATATTGGAGGTGAGGTTTTCAAAATATAAATTTAGGCAGGTACAATATAAATTTAGTTCCCAAAACTCATTTTCTCATTGCAAAATACAATTATCCTGTCCCAACAACCTCAAAAGTCTTAATTCATTCTATGAATTTAAAAGGTAAAAGTCTAAAGTGTCATCTAAGTAGCACTTAAATCAGTGGTCAATGCTGGATGCTTAATGTATATTCATCCTGAAGCGACTCTCATCTCCAGCTGCAAAGCTGTAACTCCTAACAAGCACTGTCACTCCTCCATCTCCATAGGTTGGCCCTCCCCACTCATGATGCTGTTCTCTATGGACAATGGGAAGGAATTTCTTCACAATGCTCTGCTGCAGTGGCCCATCCCATGGAGCACTGCACAGGACATCCTTACCATCTACCACTGACCTACCCTTTGGAGCCCAGGAGGAGTTGCCCTCCTCCCATGGACTGTGACAGGAGTGGCACATATGATGTTATGAATCACATTTGGGCTGCTTTTCCTTTTCTTAAAGAACAGTATAGGTTCAGAGACTTCATCTATTTTTCTCTGTTTCCTTTAGTCTCAAATGGCAGTGTTTCTGCTAGTATAAATCAATCTCTAGATAGGCTTCAGTTAAGATGGCTGAAGAGACCCTTGATTTGTACCTATACTAATCATCAAACGATCACTTAACTGTACCCTTTGGGCTCTCTTCATAATCTTTTTCATTCTTTAAAATATGAAGACTAAGAACTTTATAACTATTTAAGTTCTGGTTCATATTTGTATAATTCTTTCTCCTTGAGTTTTATTAAAAGCAGAAAAGAGAGAGCAAACTATCTCTTCAATATTTTATTTAGAAATGTCCTGAGCTGAAAAGCAAATGCCAATGAACATCTTCATAAACTAGAACACAAATATAATTCAACCAAGGTCATTAGCATTTTATACTAAGAATTTTCTTTTCAATTGTTCTCAATATTCCTCATTTCCATTCAAGACCTAATCAAAATCCCCTTTAATTTCCACACTTCTGCTAACATTTTGTAAATGGCTGATTGTATGCTCTAAGAAAATGGGAACTTTCTCTGTTACTCTCTTTTCTGATCCTTTACCAGATTTAAGTCTCTTCAAAGCAATGTGAGCTTGTTATGGCATGCACCTCTAATCTCTTCTATTTTTTCTCTCTCTCTTTTTTTTTCTAATCTCTTCCAGACTCTACCAATCATCCAATTCTACCGGTGCTTTCACATCTTTAGACGTAGTCATGTGCCACATAAATGATAATTTAGTCAACTATAATGGAGCTGAAAACATTACACATGTGTTTTGTGCTGATACTGGTGTAAACAACATACTGTGTACTGAAAAAAATACAGCACATACAATTAGGTACAATATCTAATGCTAAACAATGTAAACTATAATAATAATAAATGATTATATTACTAGTTTATATATTTACTTTTTACCATTATTTTACAGTGTACTACATACTAAAAAATGTGTACTGTATGCTTTGTTACTCTGGCAGCAGCCTTATAGGCCTCATGTTTATTGTATTTCTTCATTGCATCTAAGGGCCATGTTGAGGGATGGACATAGAACATCCAGACTTGTGTACATACTCTATATTGTTCACACAATGACAAAAATCATCTAAAGAGACATTAATCAGTACTAATTATTGTGTTAACTATTAATCAATTTTTCAGTATCATTAATTACTTTGTTAAGTGACACATGACCATGTCTATTATAGCAGCTTCCTAACTGTACCAATTTCATTAAGACACTGGCTCATGTAAGAATGGAAGCAAAACATTCATGATTGGCCATCTAGAAGCTAGAGACCCAAGATGGATGCTGTTGGTATAATTTGAAGCCCTGAGAGCCATTGCTATATATTCCGACCTGGGTATGAAGGACTAAGCACAAGGATACTAAGTGCAGCAGAAGACAGACATGGTCAGGTATCAGTCAGGTAGTCAAGTATGCCATGGTCTGGGAGTTAATTCAACCTTCCTCTATCATTTTGCTCTATTCAAGCCCTCAATAGTTCAAATGATGCCCACTCAACATTGTTTAGAGTAGTTCTTCATTCTGCACAGCAATTCAAATGTTAATCTCTTCTGCAAACAACCTCACAGACACAACCAGAAATGTTTAACCATCTATATAGGCATATTATGGCCCCATAAATGAAACAAAATTAACCATCATATCCTTATAGGGTAAAATAGTAGTCCAATTCACTGTACATTGCTATTAAAAGTTACACACACACACACACACACACACACGCATATTTATATGAAAATGTACCTTTGTGAAACCTATTTGCTCCTTTCGGAAATTTTCCAAGGGTTTGATCAGCAAATCACTAGCATTTTGGACCTGGAATAAAAGAAAAATATACACCAAAAAACTTTTAGGTTAACAAAATTCAGATATAAGTTCAGATGAATAGGTACTTGTGAGAAGAAGTACAAATGGCAGAAAAATATATGGAATAACCAAATAAATGCAAATTAAAATACCACTGAGATTCATCTCACCCCAGAAAGAACTGCTATTATCAAGAAAACAACTAATAACAAATAGTGGCAGGGTTGTGGGAAGGAATGAACCCTTCACTGTTGCTGGAAGTGTAGACTGGTGCAACACTGTGTAAATCAGTGTGGAGATTCCTCTAAAACTAGGATTAGAGTGACATTTGACTCAGGTATTCTCCTTCTTCTTCTGGGTATTTTCCAGAAAGAATTAAAAGCATCACACCACAGTGATATATATATATATATGCATTCATGTTTATAGCTTGATCTTGAAAGGAACCCAAATGCCTATCAAGCAATGAATGGACAAAAAAAGATATGCTTTAATAATAGGGTATTACTCAGCCATAAAGAATAATAAAATTGAAACATTTACTACTAAATGGATAGACCTTTAAGCCATAATCATAAGTGAAATAAATCAGACACTAGGAATTCAATCAGTAACAAATGCTGGTATCACTGGTGAAAAAGGAACCCTTCTTCACTGTTGGCAATCAGTATGGAGATTTCTTAAAGAAATGAAATTAGAAACTCCACATGACACAGCCATACCCCTGCTAGGTATCTTCCCCAAAGAGTTCAAGACATCCTACTACAATGACACATGCATAACTATATTTATAGGAGCACAATTTATAATAGCTAAATCCTAGAAATAGACTGTATATCTGTCAGCAGATGATTGGATAAAGAAAATGTGGCATCTGTATATAATGGAACACTACTCTGACATAAAAATGACAGATTAGAAACATTTGTAGGAAAATGGAAGCACCTGGATAATATAGGTGCTTAGTGAAATAAACCAGACACACAGCCTTCAATACCACATGGTATCTTGAGCATAGTACAAACAGGGAGAATAATAAAAGATGGACAGAAGAGGACCAAGGGATGGATCTCTTGCAATACAGAAGTGGTCCAAGGGAAGGAGTTTGAGAAATAAGGAAGGGAAGGGGAAACAAGTAGAATAAAGATATGCCATGTACAAAAACCTGATAACCCAATGAATGTAAACATTATATGCTATAACATGAGCTAAGATTACTAATATCAACAAGAATGAAAAAGGGGATAAGGGAAACTCAAGAGGATGGGGTGAGAGAAAGAGGATTAAAAAAAAAAACCAAGCTATGATATATACACTTAATCATGCACTATAATGACTGTAAACTGCAAATATATGCTAATAAAAGAAAAAATTAAAAATAAAAACACTGAAAACTACAACTTTTGAGAACATGTTCAAAAGTCCAGATTAAGGTCCTCTGAAGTTCTTTCTCATTGAAACGAATAGGAATGGAATGTCCACATTAATTTCCTTCTACCTAATGCCAAATTCTCAGGTTAGGAGTTTGAAATGCAATAATTAGATACTAGTTAACCTGCCACTTTTTTATTTTTGTTGTCTTTTTACTATAGAACCCAGGGCACTAAGCTCATTTTTGTTTTTTTATTTTGAGACAGGGTCTCTCTAAATTGCTAAATGGATTGAACTGCTCTCAAACTTGGGATCATTCTGCCTTAGTATTCCAGAGTGCTGTGACTACAGGCATGTGACACCTTGCCTGGTTTAACTTTTTACAGCACCACAAAGCCATGAGACAGAAGCTGAAAATGGCAGATCAGTCCAGCACATGAAGACAAAACTGAAATCTTCAATATGAAATATGAGCTCCGCTCCACACCTAGTATAAGAGACTTACCATCATCATCCTCTCATTTTCTACTTCATTGAGCAACTCGGCAAACTCCTTGAAGGATTCAGCTGGTAGGACAGAACAAAAGATAAAAACAATTAACCATGGGCCTTGTTAGAGAAGTGGGCAACGATCTGTCCAACATGAAGTACAAGCTGGGGAGGCTGAAATAGGAGGATCACTACGAGTCCAAATACACAAAAATATGTGTTAGTTCTTTACATCATTGAGTCTAAAGCAGTTGTTCTCACTCACTATCACTTGCAGAATTTAAAAAATACCAATGCAATACCCTTCTGCAGACCATTTAAATCCATATTCAGCTCTAAAGAAAAACACTCAGCTGGTTTTTTGTACTCACACAAAATTTCTTATATCAAATGTGCAGGCATTTCCCTAAAATTAAGCACATCTCCAATTTTTTCAGAAACCAAATGGTCCAAAAATTCAACTGTGATAGTAACACCTCAGGATCAGTACAGGCTCCACAGGTACAAGGCTCAGTGCCACAATATTAAGCCCAACTTATGATGTCAGTCCTAAATCCTGGATTTGACCTATACTTAATAACCAAATTAAAGGCTTACTTAGGTACCTGATGAAAGGTCTGGAGGACTACATAAAGGCACATTGTCCAAATGAACAGTATATGTGATATTAGATGATAAGGATTCTAGTTTAGAAGACAACATAGAATAGGCATAAATCTTAGTGAGAAGATTTAGGTCCGGATTTGTAACCACATTTATCACTTTCCTGCTGCGTGACTCTGGATAAATGAGGGAACCCTCTGTGTAACTACAGACTCATTTGGCTTTCCATCCTAAAATATTGCTGGCATTATTTTATAATGTTCTATTGTTTTGATGAAAATGAAGATGCCCCTTTTTGTCTTTTTGAATGATCTTTAACTTTCTATATAAGAAAACAGGAATAAAACTTTTGAAAATGATTAAAAAATGATAGAACCCTTCAAGCTTCAGCTACTTCACTGGTTAAACAGACATGATCATCGCCACCTAAGAGTGCTGTGATAAGAACTAAAGACAATAAATATAGAGTGTCAATACTCTACAGATAATAAACATTGCTTTTCTCCCACTTCTCAACATTCTACCCTTTGACAGGCAATGTCCAAAAAGTTGGCCCTTTTTTCCTACCATCTCTCCTTTCACTCTTCCTTATAGTTTAGGTTTCTCATTTACACAAAATGATGTGATACTTAAGTTGGTGTGTATCTCATGGAATATGCTTTTGGTTTCATATATAAGAAACTATTTTCAAGTCAAGGTTATGAAATTGTACATCTGTATATTTTTATAAGACATTTCTAGTTTCAGCTCTTTAAGTTCCTTCATCCATTTTGAGTAAACTTTTTATATGGTGTGAGGTAGAAATCCAAATGAGCCAGTCTGTGGAAACAAGTATAAGTGACTGGAAAGTGAACTTTAAAAATGATAAGCGGGCCGGGGAGATGGCTCAGTGAAATAAGCGCTTCCCTGGCAAGCGCAAGGGCCTGAGTTCAATCCCCGGTTCCGCAAAAAAAAAAAAAAAAAAAGCAATGTGTCCAAAGTCATATGAACAGGAAATGACCATCTAAAACCCAAATCTGGGTTCATTCAACTCCAGTACTTCAATAAATACATTATTTTTATCACCCAGATGATCCTTTAAGTATGTTTCACATTGTTTATTATGATTTTAGTAGTTTCCCTCTAATATAGAAATTAAATGGATTAATTAGGATTTGATTATCTGAAAATGCTACTTCTCTTTGCTGCAACGTAAAATAACAGTACCTTAAACACAACAGACTTTTCTTTCCTCAGGCTGAGTTCGGCACAGTGTCTCTACAGTCATCAAGGACACGAGCCAATTCTCTCCTCCTGTTCTGTATGCCTCCTTATAGTATAGTATTTTACTCTGCTGTCCCAAGATGGTCACAGGACATTTACATTCTGACTAGCAGAAAGGAAGAAACAAAATAGGCACACATTTTCCATTTGAGAATATTTCTTGGAAGCTGCACAGGACTGTTTCTAATTCCTGTTGGATTAAACTGATCACAAAGTAACCTCTACATGAAGTAGAGGCTGAGAATTAGTCTTTATTTCAGACAGCCATATACTAGCAAAAAATCAATGCTTCTGTTACTAAAGAAAAAGAGAGTGAATTCTGAGGAATCAATAGCAATGTCTACCACAGCAATCTCGAAGGTTGTTTCCATATAAAGCCCTAAGGTGCTTTTGATCTTTTGCTAGATTTTTTGTGAAATAGTCCACGATTTGATGTCTTTACCAAGACTTGAATACTTTTATGTAGAGAAGTTAACTTTAGGTAACACATGGAAAAATAATAAAGGCATTGATAACAGTCAGAAGAATCACTAAAGCTTTTCTTTAAAAATTTTTGTAACTTGATATGCATCTATGAAGATAAATATATTGTCTGTCACTAGAGGTTTACAAGTTAAAATGGTACCAATATATCGTCTTCTGTTATGGTAGCTGATACTAGTCAAAAATATTCAAAATAAATTAGAGCTTATATTTGCTGTAATACTTTTGCACATTTTAGTTCTAAAAAATCTTTTCGATATACTTTGAGGGTTTATCTCAGTTACTTTGACCCGCTGCTGGGTCAAAATACCTGATACCCAAAATCAAGGACGGAAAGGTTTATTGGGCTCACAGTTTCGGAAGGTTTCAGTCCACACTCAGCTGGCTCCAAAGTACAGTGGCAAGTGTTAGATAAATGGCAAACAGCAAAGGGAGGAGGAGCAGCAGCTGTGGCAGCTAACAAGCCTCTCTCCCTTCCCTCTATAGTATGCAGATTATTCATCCCAGGGCGGGTGTAGCACTCACACCCATAATCCCAGAATTGGATGAAGAATTAATCATGAGTTCTAGAATCTGCCCCCAATGATTGCCTGAGGCTTTGGCGGGACAACTAGACACAAACCAGAACAGGCTTGTATACTTATTTTTCCAGAAATGTGAACATAAGTGAAAGTGGGGGCTATAATGGGAAAAGAAATGTTCCAAACAGCATTTTTATACTTTTCACAGAAGTTTGACATTTATTTTTTGAAACTGATTCCTTTTTACAAAGGAAATTTTTTTGCCTTTTTGTCATTTTAACAAATCTTGATATTTTGGTTTATTATTTTAACCTCCTAGCCCTATGACAAGTATCAAATGATTCTGTTTATTCTGTTAGGTTGTGGGAGGTCAGACATGACATTCTAGTATTGGATTCTAGGAAAAGATTGTAATGGTAGCCAGATATCTTTCAAATTTCTATAAACTTCAATTTGCAAATAACTCTAAGTACAATATCTCCATGTTCACTAGGCAGAATACAGAAATTACCACACAGTCATTGAAATAAACTAAACTAAGATGTAATGTGGATAAATAAAAGTCATCTGCAAATTCTTCTTTCTCCTGGAACAGAACAAAACCTGTTACTGTACTAAAATCAGAAAACTCAAGTTTTCCCTTTGGCTTTTGTACTTCACTGCAGACCTCATAGTGCTTTAATAATCTATTTCTACTGACTGTCTTCTAAGAAGGAGTACTTATATTTAAATATCAGAATGAACCTACATGACAACTTCTAAAGTCTAATATATTTCAGTTTGAAAATAAAATGAAGACATACATAGAACATAAGAGGTAAGCTCTAAGATTATATTAATATCTTCCTGTGTGAATAGCAAATAAAATTAATAAAAAACCTGCACATAACCAAAAGATTATTTTAAAAAGTACAAATAGGGCCGGGGAGATGGCTCAGTGGAATAAGCGCTTCCCTGGCAAGCGCAAGGGCCTGAGTTCAATTCCCAGTTCACAAAAAAAAGTACAAATAAAAATTCACAAAAACAACACACAAAAGAAATGGTCATGTTTACTAGTAATAAAAGGGATGCAAATTAAATCAATGAGATAATGTATATTTCTTCAAGTGAACAGATAAGAAAGTGGAAATTATCTTCTCCCACTGAAATTACACACCTCTGTTCTTGGCTGGTAGATATCATGCTTTATTTTTCTTTTAATTTTTTCAATCATTTATTTATTTATTCATTTATTTGATACACAGTCTCATTACTCAGCTCAGACTCAGTGATCCTCCTGTCTCAGCCTCCACAGTTCTGGGATTATAGGCTTGCACCACCACAACTGGTTTCAGTGGCCTGTTCGGCAAGGATCCGGCATGGCATGCAGTACTGGAAAATGAACCCATATCCTTGCATTTGCCAAGCAGGTGCTTAGATCACCAAGTTATCTTCCCAGCCCAGTGTCACATTTTAGTTAGCACAACTGGAAAAGTATTACAATTCTTCACACCATAGTAATTCTATTTCTGGGTATTATACAATAAATAAAAGGATGGTGTATGAATCTGTTTCTTAAAAATTTCCTTTGAGATGTAGTTTGCAAAAGAAACATAAACTTGTTTTACTAAATGCTATTCCTGTGGTACAATGAAAACATAAATGAACAGTGCTTACATGTAAACAGCTACTAGAAAAAATATATTATGTAACAAAGTGGAAAATTATGTATAAATTATATGTAAAAGATCATCTAACTTGTACTCTGAAAACATACTTGGAAAAAGTAACACCAAAATGTTAATGCAAATTACCTTAGAGACTGAGGTGTTAGATATTCTTTTTTCTAAAAAGTCACAGGACTATCCTGCTACAATGCTGTATAGGCTTAGATTTTTACACTCCTGTGTAAAACTATGTAATTGTTTATTCCTATTTTTTAATTTTTTAATTCTTTAATATTTTTTCTTCACAGGGGCTGGAGAGATGGCTCAGTGGTCTAAAGCACCTACTTGAAACAAGCTTGGCAAAGCACAGGGACCACGGTTCAATCCCCCAGCACCACATGCCAGCCAGCCCCGCCCCCTGGTGGGCTGAGCTGGCCACACACACACACA